TTTTCTTTTACGGCTCTCAAAAAGCTCCATCAGCGACCGGCCCACGGCGCTGGCCTGGTCCGGGAGTTAGGGATGGGTTAAAACGGGCTCCGGACCGAAAGCGGACACACGGCTCAGACGCAAAGTGGCCCAGTGTGTTCTCGATACGGAAAGCCGGTGTCGGCCAATGACGTAACGGAAGACGGCTGTAAACAACTTGAGGGACGTGTCTTAAGAGAAACGTACCTGTCACTTCCTCGTTAGTATAGTGGTGAGTATCCCCGCCTGTCACGCGGGAGACCGGGGTTCGATTCCCCGACGGGGAGAAAGACGGTAGTTTTTGAGTCGTTTCTTGTGATTAAATATTACTTTTTTTTCTCTTCTAAATATCTACAAGATAATCGTTGACCAAATAATCAGCTGTAAAAATCAGGAAACAGTACTACCCACCCACCCCACCCCCAAAAAAACAAAAGAAATAAAACTCCACAAGAAAAGATATAACATCTTAGCCAAGTAGTTCAAATTTCACATCACCAGTAGTGGGGCAACACAGGTCTCTGTATGTATCTCGTGATGTAATGTACTGAGATATGCCTGACACAAATGCCTTGTCTGAATCTAAACAGAGGAAACAGTACAAACCCACAGTGAAAGGAATTCTTAAAATAACTGGCTTGTACTTTTCAAAATTAGCAATGTGACGTAACTCACCTGGAAAGTTGACTGAATATTCCAGGTTAAAGAAGGCCATAAGTGCATGCTATGTTTTAAATAATTTTATTTAAATTACATGTACTTAACATTTTTATTTAACCATTTTTACACACACACATGCACACACACGAATGATCAGTATAATCGAAGGAGACATTTACATCACATCCAAATTTTCTTGTGCCCCTTTACAATCTGCCCTTGTCTCCATCCCTGGTCCGTTAGGTTAGCTGTCCTAATGAGAACCACTGCCTTGGGGAGGTCACTATTCCAGCTGCTTCCTCACCTCTGCACCACAGTTGCCAAAACTTGATCTCCTTCTCAAAAAGAAAATGGTTTTTATTATGATTGAGACCACTCCCCAACCTGCTTAGCTCGTCGTAAAACTGTCAATTCCACAACTTGTCCAATAAACCTACCCTGAGGATATGAGATGCTGTCACAGGATGCTCAAATATATATATATATATATATTAATTATATGAATATATATAATTACATAAGTGTATACATAAAATACATTGTATCCAAATCTATATACATCTAGATACACTGTAAGAGCAATTGTATTAAAACTTAAATTCTGAGTACTCTGTTTGCATGAGGCTATGAATGGCGGTGAGACCCC